CACCAAACCAAAAGGTGATTTTGGGGACATTATGTTCATCGCTACACCGAAACACCTTCAAATACCGCGAAGGTACGGTAACATTTACAAGGCATGAAACCCTTTTCGTGCAGGAAAATTTTTTAAATGAATCAACATTTTCTGCAACGAAACAGTTCTTCGAATACTCCAAGGATTTGATTAGGCGCAAATTTGCATTAGTTAATAACGTTTGTCATAATTGGAATTTTACCATTTCTAAGCTATGTATTTATGCTAAATGCATATATTTTTATAACGGTTGCAAAAAATACAAAATCGTATATAAAGCCCTGTTGCATCAATTTGATGTGTTTTCCAATGTCGAAAATATTACACATCCGGCATTAGAATACAAAATTCCGCAAGTTCGTGGTAAACAGCGAAACAGCAAAAATAACATTGAAAAATCAAAAGGCAGCTAAGTGGAGGGTTATATACTTGTGCAAACAGAGTAAAGACTTAAGACAAATCGGGCAATACGCGGTCCCATCTCGACAAGTAATTCGAAAAATAAGATCGGAAGCCAAAAGTGAGAAGGCCAGGCATCCCGATCCTTTCATAGACCTCTACTTAATGCTGAAGGACAAAAATTGGTCCGATTATATCCAAAAAATAAGTTACCCTTTGGAAATTTATTTATTTTCCCTTAGCCAGCTTACGTTAATTCAAAAATTAAATCCGCATACACTTTTTATGGATGCAACAGGGAATGTAATAAAAGAAATTTCGTTTAATTCCAAAAGGGTTTTCATATACTCTATAATAGCGCACATAGAAAGAGAAGGGAAGGAAACAGGAATTCTCTTCCCTTTGTGCGAGTCGTTTTTAAGTAGGCATTTTTCTACAGATATAGAAAGATTTTCAATGTATGTGAAAACATTTTGTAAGGACAATAATTTACGTTGGCCCAATTGCCAACGTATTATATCCGATTGGAGTACGGCCTTAATAACTGCCATCTTATGGGTTTTTTTTCATATGGAATTGCCAATATATGTTAACACTTGTTTCAAAAACTTAGACCAAAAACTAGGCAAACCCTCATTTGTTATATTACAGTTATGTACAAATCATATTATCAAGATACTGTATAAGGACGCAGAAAATCATTTTAGTGAGTCCGAACACAAGTTCATAAGGCGGCAAATGATAACCGCAATCTATTGTTCTAATATAGATCGGTTCTTCCAATGGGTTACAAGCTTTTTGGTTGTACTCTGTAGCCAGTTTGAAAATAACTACACAAAATGCCGCCTTAATACGTTGAAAAACAATCTTTTAATGGGCTGCGATGAAGGAGTCTCTTCTCTCGGTGACAATTATGACATCGATGATAAAAGTAGATTTTATATAAAAAAATCAACGTATTCCCAAAGTGATTTTTACAAAAAAGCTAACGACATATACTACCAAGTAAACAGTGAAATAGCCATTAATAAATTTTCTTAGAAAAATATAAATCCTTTTTATAATTCGAATTTCGCGGATATTTTATTGGAAAAATATGTCGCTTACGCTCCCTTATGGACGAATTTAATGGGTGCATATATAGACACTAAAATGCCCGCTTCCAACAGTCCAGTGGAAGGTTATTTTTCAATAGTTAAAAATATAAATTTAGGTGGCGAAAGAAATGTACGACCCACCGACGGTATAAGAGAGTCGTGCAAGTATTTAAAAGCAAAGACAGAGGAAATAAACTTGAAACACATTGAAAGAAAAGTTTTGTATGGGACGCATTTGAAAAATACAGAGATATTACTCGAAGACAAATGGAAACGTACCTCAAGAAAAATTAAGAACGAAAAAGATTCATGCTATCGCAGAAAATATTCAAGAATTACACATCGGACGAATGCTTTTCTAAAGTGTATCGATTTTTAAAATCAAGAAGAATTATTGTTGGCAAATATAACTATATATTTGAAACAATATACACCAGTGAGAAGCGGCCATTTTTAACACGTTTAGAATTAAATGATTTATTATGCCTCGAAAATAAAGAAGAATTATACAATAATGTGTTGGAATTATATGCACACATTATTATATATGATAGCAAAATTCACAGTGTATATTGTTTCAGTTGCATGGAAGGAGCGTTAATATTTTTCGGCGACAACTCTGATGTCAATGACAAATTTAAACAAATCTTGCTGCAGTACAAAATATTCTCCATGCAGGCATTTTACATTCGCGCATGGAAACTCTCAAACTTCTCAATCTTTTATATACATTGATCCGGTAGGTAATGAAGAGACAATTTTATCGAAATTATTTAGTAAATTTAAAAAAATAGAGAACAGCAAAGTAAATAATATGTGGATAGCAAGAACCGAAGAGCATGATTTACAAAATCTAAAAAATGACAATAGGAACTGCGGAGTGTTTGTTTGTCAATTCTTAGAAAAAATTGTGAAAAATGAAGCTCTAACAGACTTGGCGCGTCCGTCTGATTACAGAAAACACATGAAAAACAAACTTATTAGAAAGAGGAGGAGGAATTGCCGATGTAGCAGCTACCGCAGCCGACACTGCACCGACACCGATGCTTGTATTGTAAGTCATTTTAGTTTATTTAATTCTTTTTTGTCCCCGACGAGTGGCTAAGCGCGAGCTGCCACCGCTGTGGCTGAGACGAAGGGGGGTGCATATGATGGCACTGTAGGGAGGACTCCAAACGGTTACAGACTGACTTACGGTGGACAGGCGGACGGTAGACATCCGACGAGACCCTTTCCTTTTTTAGTATTCTTTGTCAGGAGGCTCAGGGAGCCAAACCCCTTTCAATAAAAAAAAAAACGCTCTACCGGCAACAAAGGGGCTAGTACTGTGACAAAGGCCTGAAATGTTTCCGGGGAAGCAGCCATTTATAATAATTACTAACGCGCCTAGTGCAATACCTCACGGTTGGTGTGGAAAATTGCACACATTTGCCTAATAAATACGAAAAGTAGCTATGGTTTTCCTTTATAGCCCTCAACGTAGGCAGTTTTCTGATGATATTCATATAATAAAATCATGGACCGAATGAGACCATAGGTACGGTGGAGTACAGAATGGCGCAAGGCTCATGATTTTCCCGCTCGATAAGCTATTCATTCAAGTGCAGATTTTTCTCCTTGCTACGTTCTATTTAGACAAAACATGCTAACTAATGGCAAATCATATGGGCTATTACAATGCTTTGATCTCTTACAAGACTGTTCTTACAAGTCCTTAAGGACTGACGAGAAATTACGATTGATTAGAAAATGTTAGGAAAGCCTATGCTAGTACTGTGACAAAGGCCTGAAATGTTTTCGGGGAAGCAGCCATTTATAATAATTACTAACGCGCCTAGTGCAATACCTCACAGTTGGTGTGGAAAATTGCACACGTTTGCCTAATAAATACGAAAAGTAGCTATGGTTTTCCTTTATAGCCCTCAACGTAGGTAGTTTTCTGATGATATTCATATAATATTTAAAAAAAAAATCCTGAAAAGGTGCTATTTTAACTAAATTTTGCTTTAAATATCTCCGAGACTCCATTTAACAAAGCTCTGTTAAGTGGTTAACAGATCACTGTTAACATTTTTTGGGTCGTGCCTTTGCTAGTTAAATTTAAATATAACTTCACACCCTTCGTTCAAGATGGGTTTGCAGCCACCCTTGAAAAAAGATCATTTGCCAAAATTGAGGCATCATGTGAATGTCTGCCGGATTTCCGTTCTTCCATTCGGAAGTTCAACTATGACTTTTGAAAAATTCAAAGTCAATTATGTAACTAAAACTGATGCAGACAGCGAACCAAAAGTGTACATCTGTGATATTTTCCAACGAACCGTAACCAATCATAATGCATGTGAATTCTCCACGTTTCCTTACACGTATATATTTTTTTTTTGCTTCGCCTTCCTACGTTAGCGAATTCTGCGAAATGTAAGCAAGCGTGTCCCTTTACTTTGTCGTTATAATTTTTTTTACGTTCAAGCCAATTAAGAAAATTTGCATCTATATGCGTAGAAGTCAACATAAGACACGTTGAAAACCCAAGAAATAGAAATTTAGATATTCATAAATAATATAGACTCCCATGAGCATTGATAGCTGTGTCAGCATTAATCACATCGATAAGCCATTCATCAAATCTATAAGCAATGAATAGATAAGATGCTGCAATATATTCGAAAAATAACCAATAAAGAAGATGACACCCAGGTTAGTTGACTACCTATATAGAGATTTACCAGCGGCCACTACATGATAAACATCCGTTACGGAAATTCAAGCATTATGCTTAATTCAGCTATTCCTAGATAGAATTAAAATGACCAGAAGCTATAAATTAAAATGCACAGATAAAATAAGTGCTTTTTGTAATTGCACATTAACCAAGTTGTGAAAATAAAATAAATTTTTTTAGAAAACCTTTAGTAAAAAGTGTAATTTACATATCTACATGCACAGGGGGCACATTGGCTCAGCATGCAGCAGGAAACTTTTATTGACAGATGATTCTTGATAATTAGCATGATCTGTCGATTTAGAATAAAAACGTATGTTCTTGGGACCGTGGGCACTTCAACAACAGATCTGCGAAAAACTTGAACTATTTTTTATTAATTAAAAAGGTATGCCTTTTAAAGTGTCTCTGATGCATATTTCTTGACTAACCGAAAGACAAATCTAATCTAAAAATAGCACTTTTACTGCAAAAGTACTACTTAAACCTTTTCTTATTTTCTAATGGAATAATAAGAAAATTCATTAAATGTCGTTTCTTGCCAAGAATTAACAAATATTTTTACACTATGCGCGAGTTTTCACTTTCGAAATATTTTCGAATATTTTGTTGCAGCCATCGCCAATTTTTCTTAAAGTAAATTATACTGTTTTGTAACTAGAATTACAGTTTCAGAGTAACCATATCGATTCCTTACTTGTAATACTTCCCATTTTTAATAAAATCAACTAACTTCTATTTATAACACTCACCACTGCATTATTAATGGACTGCCTTGAATTGAAGATTAGTTTCTGTTTCAACGTATTAGCACGATTTTGCCGCTCTTTCTTTCTTTCATTGTCGTTCTTTAGTTGTCCTTGACGAAAATTCGATGACTTTTTTTTGTCAGCTTACATCCACAGCGTACCTTATCTGGAAAGAATTAATAATTAGTGATGAAGTACGGAGAAAGCAATATTTCTAAAATCATTTGAAGAAAAGAATGTAAATCCCGACTGCGAGGTAAATTAGACTCACAACATTTAGCAAGCATTCCAAATCATCTCCTAAGCAATAAACATACCTTCTCAGATAACTGCTGTCAGTCGAAAGTTCAACAACTACATTTGGAATCAAGTCCAACAGTCAAAGGCAAAGGATTTAAATGATTGTAATTACAATTGTTAGAAGAGCTGTCGGGAACCGTTACCAGGACGAAATTAATGGTAGTTGCAACGTTTTCGCTTTCAGAAGCTTTAAATTGTCTTTCTCGTAAGACGATGTTGGCTTTCGTAACAGTGCCATTCTTGCTGCATACTTGTCATATCGTTTTTCGAAATTCAGCGACTGTAAGCTATTAGAAGGGTTGTTCTCTTTACATTAATTACGTGTTACATAGCACAATTTGTTCGAAGCATAACAATCTTATGATTTCATGAAGTATCTTTCGGATCATAATCGAACTTCTGACTTGCTTAACAACCTTCGGCTTCTCTTCTTCGGTGTTTATAAAAGATGTTTTGAGCAAGTCATCGATATGTTTGCGCCCGGTCCAATGTTGGTTTACCATCATTTTGCATTAACTTGCGGATTATGTCACTGGGGTGATTGAACAGGAAACTTTTTTCGGATTGATATGGATAGTTCATGGAATGATTCCAAGGATATTATTGAAGGTATCCAAGGGCAGTTATGAGCAAAGTCAGCAATTAATACGATGAACAGTCGTTGGAGCCATTCAGGACATTCTTATATTTTTCATAATCTCCTTCTAAGCCAATTCCATATCCCTTTGAAATAAAATTACTCTGGAAAAAAATTAAGCACAAAATAATTAAAAAATTTATCTTTAAAGCTCATATATGAAGTTTCTAATATATATCATAACTAAAAGTTAGTACAAGGGATAATTTGTCGCCTTGCATTTTTCCTTTTGCCTAAAATAGCCTGCATATACCGCAGACAACTGAACTTTATTTTTTTTTTTTTTTTTTGTTTGTATTTGGTATGGATTGGACCTTTTAACTTAAATTTAGATCCATAATCCAGTAACTATATAGAAATCCATTGCTGATATTCCTAATTTCACGTGATGATGAAATAATGATGCTTTTTTTACTAAATTTTCTGATTTTTTTGCTTTCTAGGTTATGTTTGATTCTTTTCTTTATTTCTTTATTTCAATTGAGTAACACGCTGAAGTTGCTTATGTACACCCCAACGACAGCATGAAGACTGAACTGAACTTTATCTATACATTTTTTCATTTACTAAGCATTTTTTACAGTTGTTGAAAAACTACATTACTTACCGTCACTTCAAAGAGAAAAATAGTTTCTGTACTTTTTAATTTACACATCTATTTTTTATTAATTATTCCGAATTGCTACATTATTTCAATTTTCACAAATTTATTTCTATCGTTATCTATTAACCTAAACGCGCTAAAGCTGTGATTGCATAGAAGCAATGAAATGTGCAAATTTCCTAATCTGCCAGAATTTCTATGCGTTCTTCTCTTTACTCTTATCTGAGTAACTATTCACGGTAGCTTTTCATAGAGTTGCCAAATCTTTCTTGCATAAGTTGTAACTTAACGTGGCAATGTTTTAAAAACAGTAAATTGTAGTAGAAGCATCATTTATCAAACTCGCTTCAAAGGGCGAAAGAAAAACAAAGCGAGTGAATTAAACCAAATCTGCAGGTGCACGCTCATTTCAAAACCAAACAAAAAAATATATATTTACTTTTACCGTTTTTTTCTTCTTATCTTTTTTGTTTGAAAGTCCTACTTAGCATATTTAATATAATAAAGAATTTTGCTTCTACCATAAAAATCTCAAAAATCTCCTTAATATTTCACTTATTGTGAATAATCAATTCGCTGGCTTGAAAAAGTAATAGATAGATTTAGGTGTATGCCTTATAAAAAAACCAGGAAAATTATTGAAATGCCTGTGAACTATGCTACAATTTTTTTATAGTAATTAATTTAACTTGATTTTCCTTTTTGTTTCTTTTTTTTAATTTTTATTCCCAAGGCGATATTTTTGCAATTGTATAAAAAAGCTTGCGCAACACGCGTTAGCATCCTAAGAATCCCAAACTTTTATGTGCAATCATGTAAAAGTCTGGGAGATAATTTGCTCCCAAGCTTTGAGTTTATTTGTTTGGTATCATTAATTGTCTGAGTTATTTCGCATATACCCATACGAGGCTGTTATGATGTTTTTCTTTCTTGCATAATTTAGAATACCAGACTTTCCTTTAACCGAAAAAATTCTATAAAAATATTTTATCACATTTTGATGCTATTGTACATATAAGATTGGAGGTATTTCTGCCTTGCCGAAGTCTTATAATTCACGAAAATAAAAATACAACATTACGTTCGGATATCCGCTTGATCAGCAAATAGTAAGGATTGATTTTTAATGCGTTTCGTCTATGTTTGCAGATGCTCTGCTCAACGCAGAGATATTTATGATGTTATAAATTTTCTACAAACCCCAAACATAGAAATAAACTTTTCCAACTTCAAAATAAAACAAGATTTTAATGTATTTTATAATTTCTTTAATAAATTTTATCAATTTTTTTATAAATTGTACATTTTTCGTATGCATTATAAATGTCTTACAACAATATATTATAAAAATTTTCTGAGTTTTTCATAACATTTTTTAATATCTCTAGAATATATTTGTACATACAATTCTACCATTCATTTTACTATTACACTCTTTGCATTTTGTTTTGCGACTTATAAACTAATTAATAATTAACTACCTAAAATATTTATTAGGATTTGATTTTAATTTGATGCAGTCTACAGATACAATGTCTTTAGACCAAAACGTTATGCGAACTTTCTATAATAGACATTAAATAAATAAGTCGACTTATTTTCCTGTGTATGATTCAAAGTTATTAGTGCTGCTGAAAATATATACAGTTCATTTTTCTTTTGCTCCAATTTCATTTCGTTTCCTTTGCTTACCAATACAATGTTTTGGATACTTTACTTTTTATCTTTTAAGCAAGTTTATTGCCTAAATAGTCAACACGTGCGCGTTACCTATAAAGGCGTTTATGTAATTTCACATATTTAAGCGAAAAATTTTAATTTATGAACAAACATTTCAAAAAAAGTTCGTACAATTCTTCAGTTCGAAAGACATCAAAATTTGGTTTTAAATATTTATACCTACCACCGAAATATAAAGGTATGTCAGATTTGTCTCTCGGTTTGTAATATGTATCAGAGAAGTCGTGCAAAAATACGTTTTTGATTTTTATTCTTTTCTTCATTTTTTATTCTTCCTTTCGAAAACAACCAAATAGACGTGATATGTTTATTTTAAATTATTTGTACTTATCTTGCAGCACAAATTAAAATACATGCAGTCTTTGGTCGAAGGTAAGGGAACGGAATGTGCTTCTAAATTGTCAGATAGGTAATGGAAGAGTGCATTTGTCCGTCTCCCATCCGCAATTATCAAGGAAGAAAATTGCTACTTTGAATATATTTATCTTATAGGTAGAAAAAGGATAGAAATTGGCGAGACGACGCACCGATGCACCGTAGACAATTCATTATTATATATAAAATTTTATAAAATATTACATTTATTTTATTATATAATTTTTTTGTTTGAAGTATCAATTGAGCTCTGTACAAAATATAAGATATAATAAATGCTAAACAAATTACAAAAGTTATTGTGAAGATTTCCAATACAAATTAAAAGATATTAGAACATTGAATAAATGAAAAGAAGAAACCCTGAAAGGAAATTTGTGTTTTTTTATGAAATGCACGGAAAGCTATATATGTATAAACTAAAACAATCTTTTCCATATAACCGATGTTTGTGAGGAATGGCAGTTATAATTAATTAACTCCTGTTTTTTTAAATTAATATAAGACTGTACATTGATTGGAATGTTAATTTGAAATAAAAGCTATGACTACGTGTACATATATGTGGAAAAAAAACAAATTGCTGAAGTAAAACAAAGAAAAGAAGACCTTTTTCTTTCCTAGCCAAACATTGAGGTCGCAACAAAAGCGGAAACGCTGTTGGCGCTCGGCGGATCCGACCACCGAATGGTATTTGGAACTCAGTTCATTATTATAAAATCCAATTTTGAGACCATGTGCAACCTGAATTAGTAATCGAGTGTAAACTAACAAAGCCTCTGTGACCTATTGAAAACAACTTGTATTAGCTCAATGATACAGTTACGTTGTCAATTTCTTTGCAGAGAGAATCTATCTAAAATTCTAGCATATAAGCAGCAGAATAACAAGATAACATTCGCCATGTCGAGCTTGGGTATATCTTGTCTACCATAAACAGCATTTTTCTATTTATTAAAGATTGCTCCTTGCTAAATACGTTTTGGCAACTAAAGAAGTAAATAGTCTTGGCGGGAGCAGCTGAGAAATTTCAGAATTCCAGCTTTTATGCCGAGTGAAGCCAACCACGCATTCTAATGGAGAAGAAATGCTCAAAGAAAATCACCATAGAAGAGCATTCTAAAAGACAATGAGCAAAGACAAGACGAACAAGCCACCTACATCGCAAAAAGAAAACCCGAGATGGCAAGCTGCGAAGGAATGTAAAAACGCTGGCTGTTTTAAAATATCTCGTTCAGTAACCAATCTGTTGTTGTACCCCATCCAAATATTACTTAATAAAATACCAACTGAAAACCCGCTACCGTAAAGAATCTGGCGGGCGGAAGTCCTTTTTCAAATAAAATGACGTGAAGAGCAGTCGCGAGTCAAGCTAGAAGGACAGCAAGGACGAAACGGAAAACGACTCGAATGTCTTTATTTTCACGGCAATAGAAAATTTCAGCTAATATTTAGCTCTTAATTGGCGACGTTTAAAATCCGAGTCACCTAATCTTGCCGTCCACAATATATCTGATAACTTTCATCACAAAATATAAATCATACAGATTCTATTAAAGTTATCTTCACATTTATTTATGTGAAAAAATACGTTACATAAAATTTGAAATAAAGCATCATTATCAATATACAGATTGTGGTGATCATACATGCGACATAACCCACCCCGCCTTTTCATTTTTACTTAGAAATTTGGATTGGTAAATTAAATGGTCTTAACACATTGAAGCCGAGCAAGGCAGACAATAAACTCAAGTGTCGCAGTCAGTTAAACATAACCTCCATAATCCCGTATATTAAATCTTTTGAACTTTACATCCTGACATAATCCCAACAACAAAAATTTTTCCGTTTTGAATATTACGGTATATTAATATTATACCCATTTGTTAAGCATCCTTATAATGCGTACCTGGCAAACAATGAATTATGGGTAAGGCCACAACCCTGGCCAACACATTCTAAATACCAATAACTGGCTTTACACCGGGTAAAGTCATATAAAGGGCACTAGCTGGAAAGAAATTTTTTCCTTATTGACTGTAGCAGTCAGTAAGATAAACTAGAGTACAGCAGCAAAACCTCTACTTCCACGGTGAAGCTTGCGTCTCTTGGGTGCTGCTCAGAGGTTTGCACCTAAAGAATTTTGAAAGCTTTGAGATTTATTTAAAATCTTATTTACTGGAAATAACGCCATTTAATTGAAGAAGCCATCATTTCGTACCAAACAGCGACTGGTTTCTAAGGCATCCTACTTTATGATGTTTTTTTACGTTTTTAACTGGCAGCTTTTACAAGAACTATATTTGCGGCACAAAATTTAGACGATAGCTCTGTTCCTTAACTTTCTTAGTTGCAGTATATTGTTATACTTCTTTCCTGTTGCAATAATCCGATGAGGACGTACTCAGCACAGATAGATTAGCAATTTCCTCTCTTTTTACCTCGTTACCGATCCCAGATGATGGATTCTCTTTTCCTTGCGTTCTTCTGCCTTTTTTCTCTTTTTTTTTGCATTGCAAAAGAATGCAAAGAACGTTGTATATAGTGGCCAGACGCGCTGCAAAAAAATACAATGGTCTTCGG